CACCCCCCCGCCGCCTGTCTGGGCTTGGCCCCCTGCCTCTGGCACCGCTAATGCCACCACCGGCCATGCAGTGTCTGCAAGGGGTGAGCGACCGAGATGGGCCGGGCAGTGGCGCGAGTGGGATGGATACGGGGGCTGGGAGGCAGCGCACGAGGGGACAGGGAGTGGGGAGCCTGGGGGCTGTTAGCCCCTCTCACGTGCAGGAATGTCTGTCGGTTGCTAGGCCCCCCTGCACCCCGGTCAACTGTGCCCCAGCCAGCAGGGAGAAGAGCAAGCCCAAGGACCCAGGTAAGCCTGGGGCCACCCGGCACGTGCCAATCTCTCCGTTGCAGTGCGGGTGACTGACATTGCTCCCTCTGGGGTCCAACGCAGCCCCAGGCCGAGCTGCCAATAGGTCGCTGAGCCCGGGGCCAGGCCTGCACGAACGGAGGCGTCTCCTGCCCCTGTGGGACTCAGGGCATCGGGGCAGGGCTGGCACCTCCTGGGGTTGCTCTGCTTGGGGCTCTGAGCACCCTGGGCTCCGGCGGGGCTCAAAGTGAGGAAATCGCCCAGGTTCGTTCCACGTCATGGGCCGGGTCTCCCGGCGCCGGCTCGCCTGTGCGGAACCCAGGTGTCCGGCCAGCGACCCAAATCTCTCCCTGACCCCAGGAGTGACAGGGAGGGGGGCAGCCCCACATTCCAGGGGTGGGGGCGGAGCTCTGTGGGGCTGCGCACTGCCTGGTCTCTGGCCCGCCTGGCTCGGCACAGTGGCTGCTGCAGCCGCCTCGTCCGGCTGTAGCCCTGTGGCTTGCGCTAGCCCGAGGGTGCATGGGCAGGGCATGTGGCACAGCCTGAAACTGGGATCCTCGTGCCCAGGGCCGCCGCCGGCCCTGGAGCTCAGCGGCTGTGCCCAGGGCTCCCGCTCCTGCCGTGTTTGCTGATGGAAAGGGCAGTGCCGCTGCCTCTTGACTCTGCAGATGCAAACGGCTTTGATGCCATCCCAGTCTGCAATGCCAAGCTGAGCCACCCCACCACCACGCGGCCCAAAATGCCAGGCAGGAAGCCGCCCAGCCAGCCGCCGCCTCGCTCGCCGGTGAGGGTTGTGGGGGGGAGGAGGAGAGGGAATGGGTGGAAACACCACGCTGGGGGTGCTGGAGCTGCTGCCCACCGCTTCTCCGCCGTGATTGCCTTGTGTCCGGAGAGTGAGCGGCTCTGCCCACTCTGCATCACGCCCCGAACCTGGCTACCTGGGACTGGAGGCACCGGAAAGCCCCACTCCGCCCCAGTGCTCCCTCTGCGTCGGCAGGAGCTGGCGTATGCTCAGCACTGGCGGGGGGCAGGGTTCCCACCCAGGATCCCCGTCTCCTGATATCTGCCAGGGTGCAGGCTACTGAGCCCCAGCACTGGATGGGACGGTGGCGCTCTGCAGCTCCCGCCAGAGGAGCTGGGGTTAACGTCACGTGGGGGGCTGGGGGCAGGGGGAGGAGAAGCAGACGAGAAGGGTGCCACGGGTCCCCCCTTGCTGCCAGGGTCGCAGCAGGGACAGGAGTGAACGCGTGGGGCAGCCCGGGCAGGGGTGCTGTGCTAGGGGTCAGGGGAGCTGCTTCCTGACCCTGTGCTGGCCCCTCCCCTCTGCAGAGCCCAGCCTCCAATCTGGAGGGATGATAGGAATTACTATAGAGAACTTTCTGGGTGTCTGGCTGGTGAGTCTTGCCCGCATGCTCAGGGTTTAGCTGATCGCCATATTTGGGGTCAGGAAGGAATTTTCCCCCAGGGTAGATTGGCAGAGGGCCTGGAGGTTTTTCGCCTTCCTCTGTAGCATGGGGCGCAGATCACAGCTGGAGGATTCTCTGCATCTTGGGGCCTTCAAAGTATTTGAAGGCTTCAATATCTGAGCTATAGGTGAGAGGATTATTCTGGGAGGGGTGGGTGAGGTTCTGTGGCCTGCGCTGTGCAGGGGGCCAGACTAGATGATCATAATGGTCCCTTCTGACCTTAAAGTCTGTGAGTCTGAGTCTATGAGCACCCAAAGGGGAGCCTGGCTGGGGGGACCCATTTGCCTGTCAGCCAAGGGGCTGGGAGGTGGGTGCCAGAGACCCACTGCCTCCCCAAGGGGCTCTTCCTAGAGCTCTGTCCAGTGCCCATAGGTGGGGGTGCCCAGCCCCGGGGCTCCCCAGGGGGGGGGAGACGGGCTGGCCCAGCCCTGGGCAGGAGGATCCCAGTTTCGAGCTTTACCATGTTCCCCATCCGTTCCGCTCCCGCAGCATGCGAAGGAGCCCCCGGCCCCACCCAAGAGCAGCGTCCCAGCCAGGGACCCGGAGAGCCCGGCTGACCCCCCCAAGGCGCAGGAGAAGCTGTCCCTGGAGGAGCTGATGGCTGAGATCCGGTCCCTGCGGATCCTGATGGACCTGATGAGGGTGCAGCACCAGTGAGTGGGGCTGGGCGTGGGGCAGCTGGGGGGCGGCTGGAGTGCTCTGAGCGGCCTTCCCCCACCCCCAGAGGACAGCTCCTGCGTGCAGGCAGCGGTGGGGGCTCTGCTTCCCAGCCATGTTTCCGCTGCATCTCTTCTGGGCTGGTGGAGGGCCTGGCCTGGCCTGCCAGCCAGTGCGCACATCCTGATCCCCTAGTCCCAGCCCTGCGGCCGACCTGTCGGAGCAGCATGGCCCGGCTGTGTCCGCCTGACCCCGCCGAGCAGTGAGTCGGCTCAGGGCACCTGGCTGGAACGGGAATTGTGTCCCTGCCCTGTTTGTGCGGAATCAGGTGGCCTCTGGGGACCGACCCCTGCCTTGGGGAGATGGAGGTTCAGAGGTGAACTTCGTGGGGGTCCCTGCTTCCCACGGGGCAGCCCCTGGCCCCAGGCCTGCTCTGTGGCGTCTCGGGGCCCCCAGAGAGCCTGTCCCACCAACTCTGCACTGCCCTTGGCAGGAAGGACGTGGAGGAGCTCAAGACGGAAATGAAGGCGGAGCAGGCCAAGCGCATGGTGCTGCAGGTGAGAGCCCTTGGGATGCCGGGCTGCGTGGGGGTTGCCTCAGCCCCTCCCTCACTGGGACCCCTCCAAGCCAGGCTTGTCAGGGGGGTGCTCAGCCCTAGCACCCCCCACTCGCATGCTGCTGCAGGGAGCACGGAGAGCAGCGTGTCCGGGGGGAACCCCCCTTCCCTCTGCCCGTGGGGCTGCCGGGTCAATGCGGGAGATGGTGCGTGGGGCTGGATCTAGAAGTGTTAACAGCTGAGCAGCAGGGTCACCGGGTCATCATCATGTCTGGTACCCAGACGCCACATTCAGCTCTTGGTCACAGTGACCCTCTCTCCTCCCAGCGGCCACCTGGGCTCTGGGTGCCTTGGAGGCCCTGTGCTGCATGCAGGGTCAGCGCTCCCTGCCTGGACAGTGCCAGGCATGGGGCAGGGATTTGCCCTGAGTCGCTGGACTCCCACACGTCTCCCCTTGGCAGGTGGAAATCGAGAGCATGAAGCGGATGCCTGCCCTGGAAGCCGTGGGTGAGGCGGGAGCAGGAGCAGCTGGGTCGGGCAGTGACGGGGAGGAGCTGCCGGCCCTGCTGTGATGTCCGCTGTGTGCCTGCCTCTTTCTGCACCCTCTGCCGGGGCTGTTGAACTTGCAAGAGAGTCGCTGGCCACCGATTCCCCTTCGTGTATGTTCACGACCCCCCCCAGCTGGTCTCCCCCAGCCTCTGCCCGCTGGGCCCTCGGGGGCCGCTCTGCGATGGCCCCTGAGCACCGTCGTGGGGGCACAGCCCTTCGCCCACTGCGGGTGCCGCTGGGCTGACTCTGGGGATGCTGGCTTTGGGGGACCCTGCTTGCTGGGGGCTGCCAGGAGAGCTAGTGCCCTGGTTCTGCTAGGGCAGCGCTAATGCCAGTGACACACAGGCCTGGCCTCCACAGCCTGGCTGCTGCCTGGATTTACCCAGTGCTGGCATTGTCCTCCAGGCCCCACCACCTGCTCCGCTCCCAATTGCCTGCAGATTGGCCAAAGTGGGCCCTCCGGCCTGGGCCAGGCTGCCCCTTGTCCTGGGAGCATCTGTCCCTCTCCAGAGACAGGTCCTGAGCCCGTCTCCCCTCCTCCTCTCTGGAGCTGTCCCAGCCTTGGGCCATGCTCATCCCCATGCTGTTGCCAGCCCCTCCCTTGCTGGGGGAGGGGGATAGCCACCTGACCCCTAACCCCCGCCTACAGCCCTGAGCTGACTCAGCCCTGGGGGCCAGGGCATGGTCTGAGAGGGCTTGGAACAGCTTTGCCAGAATGCAGGCAGCCCTCTGCATTGTCCTGGTCAGCAGGCTGCTTCCCCCAGCTAAGCCCTGTTCCGTCTTGCCCTGTTCACATTAGGTCACTCGGTTGGCCAAGCCGTCCCTGGGCCAGACTTGGGTGCTGGATCACCTGGTCAGCCTGTGATAACGCCCGCAGGCTGGACCCAAATGGCACTACAGCCCCCCACAACTCGGAGCTAACGCTTGTGTCCTGTCTACACTAGAATCTAGTTCTGCTGACAGAGCGTGGGTGTCTGGTGTGACCTGGCTCTCAGCCATCCCCCTTCCCACCGGGAGCCCTGTCCCGCCTCTTTGGCCATCTCGCGCCCTTTGACTCCTGAGAACTGGGAATCTCTCCCTCACTCTGGGAGCAGCTCCCGGCCCTGCCCACCGGTTCTGATCCCATGATGCTTGTCTGACATGGGGATGAAACAGCTATGAATGTCCCTTGCCCCCCGAGCTGCTATCCCACAACTGCCTGAGATTTTAGAAACTTATAAATATGTGTTTAAAAAAAAAAATTTAATAAACTATTTTTATATCAATCTTAGCCACTACCTGGCTGCTGGAGTGTCCTTTACAGCAGCATCCATGATGTGCAAGGCGCTGCACGAATGTCAGGAGAAAGCTGTTCCCTGCTCCAGTGAGTCAGAACAGTCCAGTCTCAAAGTGCTGGGGAAAAGGGGACAGCCCGGGAGCCAAGAGCTCGCTGCCGATCAGCATGTCAGGTTAGCTCCACACGGTGTCTTTCTCAGTCTGTACTTCACACAACGCGTAGCCAACCTGCGGAACTCCTCGCTAAAGGATGTCGAGAGGACCAAGGCTACGACAGGGTTCAAAGAAGAGCTAGATACGTTCATGGAGGATGGATCCATCAATGGCTATTACACAGGAAATGGGCAAGAGAGGAGGGATCACTTGATGGGGCACCTGGCATTGGCCAGTGCTGGAGGATAGGATCCTGGGCTAGATCGACTGACCTAGTCTGGCCATTCTCATCATGAGTCTGGGGCAGGTGAGAAATGCCCAGGTGAGGCTAGTCTGGGTTTTCTTTGCCTGGTTAAAAGCAGCCAGTGGGCGAGGGTGTTCCAGGCGCCCCCAACCCTCTTCTGGCAGGGCAGTGCACATCGGCTGCCTTGGGTCCGCTCCAGTGAGGAATCGGCCCGTCAAGGTGCAGCGTGACTCCTCTGCAGCATTCCCGCTCCCGCCATAAGGTCTTAGCACGGGCAGGGCGATCGAAATCGGCCCCTGTGCAGAATGCGACTCTGAGCTCCTGTCTCCTCCCCACCACAAGGACCCCAGGCATCCCTTTACCCTCCCCCCCATCCACTGCAGCCTCCCCAGCACTCTGCTTCCTGCCTTGGCAAGCCCATTTCTTCTTGGCACTCCTGCCCCCCAGAGCCTTTACTCCTGGGGGAGGGGGCCCACCTGGCACCAGCCCCCTCTCCCTGTTTACTAGCTCGGTGCAGGTCGCAGGTCAGCACATGCCTCCCTGCATTCTTGGCAGCCTGCTCACCCTGGGGCCAGAAGGGCACATCTGGAAAACATCTGGGGCCTGTTCCAGCTGGCAGCAGGGGGCTGGGCCCTGGTGGGAATGAGCTATTTTGGTACACAGGGCTGCTGGGGAGGGGGCTGTGGCTTGCGGCGGGGGAAGGTCGGTCTCTTCTCCCCCTCTCAGAAAGGCCGGGTGGAAGCAGCTCTGGGCTGGGCCGGATTCAGCACAACTCCAGCAGCCGGGCCCCAGCTTTTTGCTGCCCAGGCACCAATCCGTCCCATGCGACAGGCTGAGTGGACAGCCCCCTGGCACCGTGTGGCACCGTCCCATCCCAGGCAGGTGCCTCTCGGCTGCTGCGGGTAAGTGCCAGCTGCTGGGAGTGAGAGGTGTGGGGATGCCCCCATGTGGCCTGAGAGCCCAAGGGGGGGCCGGCCGGGGGGCCCCTTGCCTGCTCCAGCAGGCGCATTCCCGCATGCCCTGGGCACAGTTTCCAAAAGCTCCTGAGCAAACAGCAGCGCAGGCCGGGGCGCACAAC